AGAAAAAAAAAAAAAAAAAAATATATATAATATATATATATATATATGTGTGTGTGTGTGTGTGTGTGATGTTAAACTTAACTATAAAGAATTTTTTTAATTGTTACAAAATTCTTAAGAACGTTGTATTAGGAAAATATTTCCTCTGCATGAATTTGTTATATTTTTATTTAATACATTCCATTCTTTTGTCAAATATGAAGCATATTTTGTTTAAAAAATTGTGTAAATATTTTCTTAGTACTTGACATAACTATACAGTCATTAGAACTTTTATATATTAACTAAAAAGCCCAAGCGCCAGTATGCATAACGCTGGGTATCTAGTCCAGATATCAGATAAAAGTATCCGATGCGGGTATCAGATAAAAATATCTGATACAAATATCAGATAAAAATATCCCATACAAATATCAGATAAAAATATCCGATACAAATATCAGATAAAAATATCTGATACAAATATCAGATAAAAGTATCTGATACTAGTATCAGATAAAAATATCCGATAGCAGTATCAGATACAAATATCTGAAATTAACATTACTAAAAAAAAAAAAAAATAATAAGCGTGAATATATTTATCTACAAATAAATATTTAATTAAATTAAACTAAATGAATAGATAGTTTTAAAAAAATTGTGCACAACTAAAATTATAACTAAACATTTCTCTTATATCAATGTGGCATGTCTGGACAACCATTTTGTATCCATGTGAGCATCAGATACTTTTGTATCAGATACTTTTTGGTTGTATCTACTGGTTGTATCAGATACTTTTTTAGTATCAGATAAAAGTATCTGATACATACAATCCGACCCATCCCTACTAGAAACTGTAGCTCTAAAGTACCCTCCTCAAGGTTGACTCAATATCTATACCGATGAATCAGCTGTTAAAATGCTGGAGCGTGGTTTACTCGAGGAAATTCCATATCAGCGCTGTGGTGGGTAAAAATGAAACAAATTTCGACGCAGCGATCCTCATAGCCTTAAGAACATTGTCTAGAATACGGGACCAGAGCGCTGTTCTCTTCATCAACTCTCAAGCAGCCATCCTCGCTGTTACAAATACAATGAATGTCTATCAAGAGCTATATTGGAGTTTAAATCACTCCTCTGTAACCTGACACTCCAAGGCACCAATGTGGTCCTACAGTGGATTCCCAGCTATTGTGGGATTCCGGGAAACATTGAGGCTGATGGTCTTGACAAGCAAGGGACAGATCAGGGCATACATCTAAAACCTTATGATTCAATAAAGTGAATGGTAAAGGTTAGTGAAAGAAGAAATTAGAAAAGCACACTTGGACAAGATGGAAGGGAAACACTATGAGTGTTTGATAGATAATCCAATTTCAGATGATCTACTCAAAAGAGATGCAGTAGCCTGTTTCCGCCTGGCCGCTGGTCATGATTTTGCAGAGTCATCTCCACAAGATAGGTGTGGCTGAGTACACTAGTTGTAAATTGTGTCCTCAAGGATGGATGGATGCAGACCATCTAGACATGTCCTGCCTTGATGGAGAAAACAATTCTCCTTGGATCAAACTTAATACTTGGATATACATTTGAACATTATTTAAATTAAAGAATAGTTAATGTTCTGTCAGGATAATAGCCCCAAATCATAGTAAATGAAACGTGTATGTATTTTATTGGTTTATTAACATGTCCCTGGACAGGTACCTATTCCAAGAGAGTTACCATGACAGACCATTAAAATCTAGAAACCTAGTATATTTTTAAAATTAATGATATTTCAGTAACATAAGTTTAGAAAAAGTAGCGCACCCCTCACCCGATCAATCAAATTTCAAAAGTCATTGATTTATTGTTAATCATTACTGTCAGTTTTGTGTTTTAAAACTTTTTTTTTTATGATAATAGGATCCATGAATAGTTCGTCATCATTAGTGAAAACCATTATCGACTAATGCCCAACTCTAATTTATATTATCAAGAAAAAGTATTATTAATGCATGGATATTTCTCATGTCAAGTATAACATTATATTTAGGAACGGATTTCTTTAGAGTAATATTGTCCTTTTCAGCGGCTTGTCTCCAAAAAAGAATCATTGCTAAAAACTAAGCAGAGATACTGTGTGCTTGATTGACAAGTTTTTAATACTTACAAATTTGTTCTAGTCGCCTAAAAAAACAATTTCATTCAAATTTTTCTACTTAAAAACTGTTGTCTGAAAAAAGTATCTTTATTGCCTATGCATTCCACTGATTATATTGTAAAATTAGTAAAGAACCAATAGTAAATAAAATTATTTAAAACATTTTAATCTTTGGTTCTTTCATCTCATTGCTTGTTGTAGTCTCCTTTCTTTAGTTACCACTACATACCCTTTTATATTTCTAATTTAAATCATTCAGTATCGATCTTAATTGATACGTGTTTATTGATAGGTACTTTTGGTCCCAAGTATCAGTTTTAATTTTTAGTTTTACAATATTTTTTGTTAAATAAATTGTTACCTACATTTAATAATTAGTAATTAATAATTAAGTAGTTTTGGTGAATTTAATTTATAACGCTAGCTATGTTATTTTCGAATGTGCCAATGTGGCAGAATTAATGTTTTTAAAATTAAAAACATGTTGAGATAATAAATATTTGTATAAATGATTCATCTGCTATTTTTCTAGATCTGGTAATTAAATTTTTCATTTTTGGTAATTGAATAAATTTCAAAATAAATTAAACAGATTATAAAAGAAAAATGCCTCATTTACTGGTGAAAGTTTTCTTTCCTGGTAGTACAGTAATTACTAGATGTGTGTTTATTTTCAATTTTTGAGCCAATTCCTAAGTATGGCAAATATCTTTTATTTTGGTAATACTTGTTACAGTTGAAAGACATGATTATCACTAGTAAATCACTAAAAAAAAAATTATAATTGGTAATTGGTTGATAATGAAGAGAAGAATAGTTGGGGTGCTCAGTCAAAAAAGGAAGGCAAAAAATAAATTATATTTATTTTTTACTTTTTAAAAAATAAAAAATAAATATTATAATTTATTTTTTGCCTTCCTTTTTTGACTGAGCACCCCAACTATTCTTCTCTTCAAAAAAAAAATTATATTTTTTGGTGATAAATAAGTTAGCTCAGTGTGACAGTACTGTCACTACTGTAAATACTGTCATAATTGTGATTATTGTTCAGTTCACAAATTAATAATTACTATGAAAAGTGCTGTCATCCATAACAGTTGGTATCAGTGAGAGAGAGAGGGAAGAGGCACTTTCTCTATCTCTTTCAAATTTTATGAAGAGGTCAGAATTTCAATGACTTTCCAATATTTCAGTTATTTACTTAAAAAATAAGTTGTAAAACAGCTGAACAAACCATTGAATAAATAATTATATTATATTACAGATAATAAAGTGATGGTTGGGGCCAATTTAAATTTATCTAGGACGTCCTAACCATGCCCTTCAATATTTCCTAGGTGCTAATGCTAATGATGTCATCATTATAACTGTTGCGGTGTCCCTCCCTTGTAAACAGGCTTTAAAAATTTAAAAAGAGCAGTTAATGAATGATGAGAAAACAAAAAGGAACAGACCTTAAAAAGGAATGGCCAGAACTGAACTGGGTCCCAAAATGTATAATATAATATATGCATGTCCCTCTCACAAGTTGATACTCTTTAATAAACGTCAAGAGATGTTCTGACTTAATCTTTAATCTTCACAGACAGGTCTGTTTATCCTTCTGAATATTTTTCATTCCCACATATTCAATAATATTTCGGTTTCTTTGATAATTACCAAAGTCACAGCCATGGATTACTTTAATTACTGGTTTTATAACAGCCTTGTATATCAGAACCTTAGCTCTGTTACATAAGCTACTGAACTTTAATGGTTTCTGTAGTGCCTGTTTAAAAGGAGTTGGTAAGACAATAGGTGTCATTGTCTAAAACCATCTTGGTCTGCAACAGTACTTCCTCACATTGTACTGAACCCAAGACACTTCATGGGTTGTTAGTGGTACAGGTTTTCCTTTTTTTTTTAAAAGAGATATGCTTCTGTAATAATCACATTTACACTAACTCCTTTCTTATGAATGGAATATATTATACCTAGACTCCAATTTTGTAGCATCTCTTTTTGTAGCCATACTTGTAGCATCTACACTATCCAATGCTGGAGAAATATTTTTTTAGGGATTATATCACTTGAAATACTTCAAAATCCGGTGGTTCTACATCCTCTTCTTCAGATCAACCAAATGGCGGGACTCTTCTCTCATAATCTGTCATATTCCTACTGGCATTTTCAGTTCCTCGAAAAAAGTTTCAATCACTTTTTCTCTTTGCCTTCTCTGTCTCTGTAAACAATATACCTTGGGTGCAAGTTTTTTGTTAAATCCTTCACTTCTTTATAAAACATTTGTATGGTCCAAGGCATAGGGTTGAATGTAGCGCTAACTTAACTACCCTACTCCGGAAAAAGGCACTGTTAGAAACCAATAATATGATAGCCAGACAGATTTAAGAGAACTATATTAACATTATTTGCTTAAAAAGAACATATTTTTTTATTTATTTCATGAGACTTGAGAAAGCTAATTAGTTCAACTACAGCTATTATTAATGATTACATTTTCAGATTGGATTGATTGTAAAGCTACTTAAGAAATGCTAAGTTTATATATGGAAAAAAAAATCAATAATTAGGCATTTGACAATCTGTTTTGGATATATACCTTGATTGAATTCTCATGATTTAGTAACCATTCAATGTAGAATTTAATGCTTTTCATTTAACAATACAATAACATTTTTCATAAATTTATGAAGTTCTTTTTAAATAAAGGAGCATATAAACACAGTGCCTTACACAACGAGCTACCCCACTCCTTCAAAGTAAGTAAAACCTACTAAAATTAAAACAACAAAATGTTGTACGAAGTATTAAAAATTAAATTATAAAGTGAGACTACAAACTTGGTCAAAAACGAAAATGAGATTATTCTTTTAATAATCAACAATAAATAACAATATTTATACACTAAGATATTAGTTAACAAGAACAATTATCATTTCATTTTTGTTCCCCTTTTTTAATTTCTTCAGGCTCAGTATTTCTGAAGTTAGGGAACTGTTCCCAAGGACTTGATAGTTCAAATTTTCGAAATTCCTGAGCTAATTCTAGAGGTTCAACAACAACCCTTTTCTTTTCCTCGTCATATCTCACCTAGAAAATTAAAGAATAATCCATTAAAAATTAGTTATTTTCAACATGGATATATTTAATAATTTAAGTAAAAGTAGCTAAATAAAAGTTATCTGATGCACGCTAAACATGATATAGTTCTGGGAACATTTTTACAACATTGTTGTTCTTTGGGAAATATCACTAGCTATATCATTCATTTGCCAAAAGATTGATCGTAGGCATATCTGCGATGACGCATACAGCATCGTAGGACACAGTGCAAAAAGCTCAAGCAATACACAGGGACTTCTTTGATGCACACTGATAGCTTTATGGAGATATGACTACACTTGGCAGGCTTCAGCCCAGATCAGTGCCGCGTACAAAAGCATGGAACTCGCTACATTAACCAGAAGCTTTCTCTGATTTTCCTTTGGTCCACCTAGATTTGGTATAATACTGGTCAATTCATTAATTACTTGTGCTGCTCTAGTGCTAACTTTGTGCAAGTGTTCTTCAAATCGAAGTCTGGCATCAATCTGCACTTCAAGATAAGATAAGGATATAAAAAGATATTAGATAAGATATCAAACACCCCGACGGTGAGACTGATTGTCTCCCTCACTTTTCTCCTAATTATTAATACTTCCTCAGTTTTATGGTCAGCAAGCTGAAAGCCATTGAATTATGGTGAGGACTGTCTTGTACACATTATAAGTTCTTTCCTCCAAGAGTTTCCCACGAACCATGATTGCCAGATCATCTGTAAAGCCGAGTGTAATAGTTTCTTCCGACAAAGGTAGCCTAAGCACTGTATTATACATAATATTCCATAGCAATGGCCCTCGAACTGAACTCTGAGGAACACCTGATCTGGTAACGTTTTAATCCAGCTTCTGTATCGTACCTTAAGATTCTATCGGTGAAATAACTCTCAATAATCCTTGTAAGGTATTGTGGGATTTCCGTCCTTTGCAATCTGACCAAGATACAATCCCACAGAGCTGAATTAAAAGCATTCTTAACATCCAACATTATAATGGCACAGTGCTTCAAATATTAATTCCAATTAAACATTATTATTTATTATACTGGTAATGGCACTGTCATTAGTGAGGAGAACTAGCAAGTGTGCCTTATGGTTCTTTTTGCAAACCTCTAACAGAGCTACCTTGAGGTTGCTGCCGCATATTCACCAGAGTGGGAATATCAAGATTCATTTCTCGTGGGAACCGAGAAATAAATATTAACTCTTCAATTTTTCAAGGGTATTTTTAAATAATTAATAAAATTAATAATTTCAAGGAAATAACTTATTAAACCCTTTCACCTCTTCTCAATGCTTCAATTAATTTTATATATTACAACAACGTTTCAGGCCAACTTTGCTCATTTTCAAGTCGAACTTTTTATATCCTTATCTTATCCTCACCTTCTTCCAATAATTATTTCATAGCTATTTATGAAAAGTCCATTCCACAATTTGAAAATACTTTTGGACATGTCTCAGTAGATAAAAATTATTTTTATTAAAAATTTTCATTCCAATGCTATACATTTTCGCCTTACCTCTTTTATATCCTAATGTCCACTCTGGACTATATAGTGGACATTAGGATATAAAAAAGATGGGCCTTATCGGTACTCCACCGTTCCACCGTTCCGCTGTCACAGTTGGGCCTTATCGGTACTCCACTGCTCCACCATTCCACTGTCATGATTGGGACTTATCGGTACTCCACTGCTTCACCATTCCACTGTCACAGCTGGGCAGTACCGGTAGCAGAGCAGTGGGTATCCTGCTTACAAGGCCTATCTTGAAGGCAAAGAAAGTCGTGGAAGAATTTCCTCTCTTGATAACAATGTTCTGCGAGCTTTGGTGGAAAAAAAACTCAGAAAACTGTTCGAGAACTTGCAGGGTAACTTAACCTTAGCAAATCGACTGATGATGACCACCTCAAGACAATTTGAAAGGTAAAAAAGCTTATAAGTTGGGTTCCACTGACATTGAACAACCACAAAAAAAAAAACAGCATTATGTATGAACTTCTTTACCGAAACAAAAACGACCCTTTTCTGTTCAGAATTGTTACTTGTGATGAAAAGTGGATACTTTACAATAACAGTAGACGTTCTGGACAGTGGCTCGACAAAGGAGAAGCAGAAGAACATTTTCCAAAGCCCCCAACTAATCAAAAAAAGGTGATGGTTACTGTTCGATGAGCTTTATTTGGTTTGATACTCTACAGATTCTTAAATCCATATATCCATATAATTATGTGACAAAAAATTTATTGGACAAAGGAAATTAGAAAATGCGTTTTTGGAGTTTATCAATTCTGAAGATGGGAAATTCTATTCCGAGGGAATGGAAAAGTTGTCAGCAAATTGGCAGGTATATATTGATAATAGTGGAAACTATTTTGATTAAATAAAACAGTTTTAAATCTTTCTTTTTTCTTTTCAAACCAAAATCTTACATTATTTTCTAGAAAGCCCTATAGTAATAATAGAATAGAGAAGAGATACAAAGTATAACTACCTCAACATATCCTGAAAGAGGAAAGTCTTTCCGGAATGGATGTCCTTCAAATCCATAATCTGTTAGAATCCTTCTTAAATCTGGATGATCAGCAAAGAACACTCCATACATATCCCATATTTCTCTTTCATACCAGTTAGCTGCACTGTATATATCACAGGCAGAATCTATAGGTGTTAGTTCATCAGTGTAAGTCTTTACACGAATCCTTGCATTGTAGCGAACAGAAAGTAAATTGTAAACAATCTGAAAAATACATTAATTAAATGACAAATGGAAGTTGAAATTATTAAACTAATGCTGTAAAATAAACTTGAAATGAAATCATAAGACAAAGACAAGGAATAATTTTTTTTAAAAATATTTATAAAATTTAAATATAAAATAAAAACATCTACAAGATAATGGCCTATCATAAAACCATTCAACTGTTTCCTGAAGAGAATTGTGAGGATTTGGAACACTGAACTTGAAAATAAAGCGATAAGACCAAGTTAATGACGAGCGAACAACATGGACAGTGATTCCTTGAAACAGAGATTGGCCAGATTGAAAAAGCAGAAAAGTTCAAATACCTCGGTGAAACCATAGAAAAGAATAGACTAGAAAAAGCTGCAGTGGTAGATTGAAGCCTCAAGATGGAGTGCGCTTATGGGCTGACTAAACACATTAACAATAAGAAGTATGTCTTCTAGAATGCCAAACTAAAGCACCAAAACATTGCACTGGTCAAATAACAAAACAAAATGGCTCTTCTGCTCTTCAGCTGTTTGTAAGTAGGAATGTGATGGTCAAAGAAAAATCTGTCACAGTTCCAGTGACACCATTGGAACATTGACAAATTACTGATCCAGTGACAAAAGTCTTTTTATCCATAACCTTATTTAATTTATGAATATATTAATAATAAGTTATATATTATATTTATTAAACAACAGCCCTCTTGTCCATTAATTAATTAATATGTAGTAGGTTTATCGCAAAAAAGAAATATCATCACTTTAAATAATTAATCCCTATATGGAATCAGAAAATTGTGAGTTTGTTGTATATATATATATATATATATATTGTTGTATATTGTATATATTGTTGTGTGTATATATATATATATATATATATATATATATATATATATATATATATATATATATATATATATTGTTGTATATTGTATATATTGTTGTGTATATATATATATATACAACAAACTCACAATTTTCTGATTCCATATAGGGATTAATTATTTAAAGTGATGATATTTCTTTTTTGCGATAAACCTACTACATATTAATTAATTAATGGACAAGAGGGCTGTTGTTTAATAAATATAATATAATATATATATAATATATATGTATGTGTGTATATATATATGCAGACACATATTATATACATATCAATATAAATATATATGGATTTGAGTCATTGCCATGCATCTACACTGATTTTATATCGAAAAGTAGGATTTGTTTCATTTCGATGCATTTACAGTGATTTTATATCGAAAAGTAAAGACAAAATTCACAAAAATCATATTTGAAAATTAAGCTATATCAAAAATACACTTCGGATATTTACAATGAACTGCTGATATTTATAAGTATACATAAATCATATTTGTGTATATTAAAGCAATAATGTGATTTGTTTTGTTGAATCTCAATATCCACAGAAAATAATCATTATTAGCAGTCGAGAAAATAGTATTTTTAATTTTAATAAAAATTTAATTTGTTTGATTATTATTTATTCATTTTCATAATCAATTCATTCCATTCAAATATTTTTTTAAACAATTTGATACTTGGCAATAGAAAAAACCACTTTTACTCCGGCTGCTGTGACTCTACTCACAGACACACCTGACTGTTCTGTATCAGTGACTGCCAGAGTTGGGCCTTATCGGTACTCCACTGCTTCACTGTTCCACTGTCACAGTTGGGCCTTATCGGTACTCCATTGCTCCACCATTCCACTGTCATGATTGGACCTTATCGGTACTCCACTGCTCCACCATTCCACTGTCACAGTTGGGCCTTATCGGTACTCCACTGCTCCACCATTCCACTGTCATGATTGGGCCTTATCGGTACTCCACTGCTCCACCATTCCACTGTCATGATTGGGCCTTATCAGTACTCCACTGCTCCACCATTCCGCTGTCACGGTTGGGCCTCATCGGTACTCCACTGCTCCACCATTCCACTGTCATGATTGGGCCTTATCGGTACTCCACTGCTCCACCATTCCACTGTCATGATTGGGCCTTATTGGTACTCCACTGCTCCACCATTCCACTGTCATGATTGGGCCTTACCGGTACTCCACTGCTCCACCATTCCACTGTCATGATTGGGCCTTATCGGTACTCCACTGCTCCACCGTTCCGCTGTCACAGTTGGGCCTTGTCGGTACTCCACTGCTCCACCATTCCACTGTCATGATTGGGCCTTATCGGTACTCCACTGCTCCACCGTTCCGCTGTCACAGTTGGGCCTTATCAGTACTCCACTGCTCCACCATTCCACTGTCATGGTTGGGCCTTATCGGTACCCCGCCACTGGCACTGTCATAGCGGAGCAGTGGGTATCCTGCTTACAATTGATTTTATAAATCACATTTTGCTTATTTTCATTTTTATTTCATATATTTGATATTTGTTAGTTATTATTATATAACATTTATATGGCAAACTGATGAATCAATACCTGCATAAATGTTTTCTTAATCAGCTATTAAATGAAAAATGTCTTTGTCTATTTAATAACATCTAAATTAACATTTTCTTCAAGTGAGAGTAAGTTAATTAAATTATTTAGAATATTAATTTTAGTAAATATAATTATTCTAGAATTATTTTTATAAAGAATATTATATGTTTCCACTATTTAATTCATATTAATATTTCTCTCTTTTTAATTGCATACATTATTCAGATTCTGTATGATATTATTTGCATTAATTCAGGAAATATTGTTATATTTATTATCAATTTTTTAAATTAGATTTAATAATATATACCCTTAAAAGGAGACATACAAATATGACAGCCCTCTTCGAATCACTTAAATATCATGAACGCAAATGGAAAACCTGTGGTGATCTAAAAGGTGCCATACTCTTAGCAATGCAACTGAGGTACTAAAAACATTGATGCTTCTTATGTATGTGGGACTGTAGAGATATGAAATCGCATTGTACTAAAGGAGACTGGCCTGCAAGAAATCTTGATCCTAGAGAGAAAAATGTTGTTACCAAGCCTCTTGTGGGTCTCAAAGATATTTTATTTCCACCCCTGCATATCAAACTTGGATTGATGAAAAAAATTTCAAAGGTATAAACCAAGATGGACAGGCCATTAAGTAAATAATAGAGAAATTTCTGAAATTAAGTGGTGCAAAGGTTAAGGAAGGTATTGAACAAAAGGATGGTTGAGGTGATCAGTCAAATTGAAATGTTAAAAATAAATAATTTTCTTTATTTTTACATTCGCCAAAATTTTGGCCCAAAGTTCAGGCCTTCATCAGAGCTGCTGTACAAGAAGTAAAGTCAGACAAACTTTTAGAGAACAAACTGTGGGTTTGTCTGATTTAAAATGGGTTTGTCTGACTTTACTTCTTGAACAGCAGCCCTGATGAAGGCCTGAACTTCGGGCCGAAACGTTGGCGAATGTAAAAATAAAGAAAATTATTTATTTTTTAGCATTTTAATTTGACTGATCACCACCCCAACCATCCTTCTCTTCAATTATTCACTACAGTCAACCATAAACTCACTATTAAGGAAGTTATTTTTGTTGGGCCACAAATTCGAGTACTTGTGAAGGATCCTGCATTTGACCAACTTTTGGAAGGAAAAGAAAAGGAAGCTTGGGAACCCTTCAAGGGAGTTGTTCGTGGATTTTTAGGCAGCAAAGGAAATGACAACTACAAGCATTTGGTGACAGTTCTCCTGCAAAAGTACCATAACCATGGATTCAACATGTCCCTTAAAATCCATTTTCTTCACTCCCACCTAGAATTTTTCCCTCCTAACCACTAATTCCTGCTAGTGATGAACCTGGAGAAGGATACCATCAGCATTACTGTTATGAAACAAAATTATCAGGGCCATTGGAATGAAGCAATGCTTGCGAATTACTGTTGGTCCTTGTATAGAGATGCTCCGGAACTCCCTCACAAGAGGTAAACTAAAAAACAACGATCTCATGAAACCACCACATAATCTCTTCAGACAAGACCATCTGCTAGGTTTTCTTCCAGTAATTTAGAACTCTTAGAATGCAATTCCCATTTTGAAAAATCAAATGCATTTTCAATGTTGTTAGCATTTATAATTAAAATGTATCTTTTTCTTTTAACCCGTTAATATGAAATAATTCCACCTTGTGTATATCATAGAAACTAGAGCTAAGAAAAATCTTTCATTGTCATATTTGTTTTTCTCAGCCTAAAATTAGTAAAAATTGACTCATGAAGAGCTGGAATCATTCAAAAATATGTTTTTGTTGTCCAATGTAATCCACTATGTCTCCCTTATAATATTACATATGAAAAGATTTCTTCATACTTAACTAACAATTCCATTTCAGCCCCATTCATATATTTTGGATTAATTTCAATAATTATAGAAAGAAGCTTTGAAATAAGCTTATTAAAATGAGTTGCATTAAATATATGTATTCAAACAGAGGTTGACAAGTTAAATGGAGTTGTCAAGAGCAATTCATTCCACGATGATTTTTATTTATTAAAATAGATTTCTTTCCTTGGTAACACCCTAAGGGCTGAAAAGTTGATGTAAAAAAATAAATAAAGTAGGAATATAGTGATCAAATATGTCGTTATATTATTACTATGAGTTACTGTTTAATGCACTCAGGCCTGCCGTTGCTCGGCAACCTGATATATCAATCAAATGATATAAAAATAGTCACAAGTTCGCCTCCCGGTGCCAAGGGAGTCTTTTAAACCCCGCCCACACTCCCTGGCCCGGGAAAACTCCGTATAGCCTTTAACAGCGAGGAAGGGGAGGACCCCCGCAAAAAAAAAAAATGCACTCAGGTCAAGGATTTCTTAACAATTACTGAGGGAACACATCCGAAATTCAACAATTTATCTTTATCCCTTCCTCGCCTGTAAGGCTATACGGGGTTTTCTCGGGCCAGGAGTGTGGGTGGGGATTTAAAAGACTCCCCCAACACCGGGACACGAACCCGTGACTATATTTTATTTCATTGTATCTTATATCAGGTTGCCGGGCAACAGCGGTGCTGTGCACACACACTAGCCCGTTTGGCCATCCCGCCCACTATCTGTATATGCTACTTATTTATCTTTTTTTTAGAACATATTTCTTACATACTACATCCCCATGACAAGCCTGAGTCCCACTTTAAATAGTAGATGTGTGCCCTAAAAGAATCTCCCAGAGTTAATTCATAGTTGATACAACTGCATATGTGGCCACAGACAGACATCTGACATCAAAGTGAAAAGCCATACCCATTGAGCAAACCCACTCCAGGATTTATATTACTGCTTCGTGGAGACAGCCTAACATTTCATATTGCTAATATGTCATACCTTATCAAAATTAACTAAGCCTTAGTATCTAGTGATGTATTCATAATTATTTTTGCAATTTTTTTGTTGATATATTAATTATTTCTTAAAAATTTCAAAAATCCCTGATGAAGACCTTTTTTAATATGAAATATAATGTGCAGCATTTAAAAATAGAAAAGTAATTTGTAGAAATATTTTGATTTACTAAGTAATATAAAATATTTTATTCCACCAAGAAAAAATAATTAATTCCTTCCTCATATAATAAATAAGATCTACTTATTTCTGTATTATTTTGCTGTTCCTTCATTGAACAATATATTTTACAAATTATTCACAAGGGCCAACTAGTTTATAATTTATAACAAATTATAAAATGTATAGGGAATAAACAGTCAAATCCACAATATTCATAAGTATGACTAAACAATAGATGTGAAAAGTCGCCAGCAGTCAACAAAACTTAAAATAAATGATATCTTGAAGTAGATTCAATCACCTCAAATCTGTACTTCCTGCTTGGAACATCTACTCCAGCAATATCAGACAAAACAGAAAATTGTGCATTATGGTGATCCTTTAAAAACTGAAGTACTGGAAGCACACCTTCTGGAGCAATTAGAACTTCTAGTTCATCCGTAGATGTTAATTGAACCTTCTGAACATATCGAGGAAGACATTCAGCAACATAGGCCCCAAAATCGCTCAATTTTGCTCTATCTATGAAGCTTGGTGTCTTTCGTACAGTAGCTGCAAAAATTATGTAAATTAAATTAACAGATTATCTCTTAAATTATAATTTCAAATTATAATTAATACTAATAAGTACGCCTTTTTTCTTCTTTGGCTTGATTTTTTGCTTCTGTGCCAGCACTTCTTTGAATTCTAAGTTGACTGATAAAAGTCTGTGGATATGATCCTTAAAAAAAAAAAAGTTAAAATAAAACAATAGCAATCCATTTAGTGCTCATTCAAACACACAACGTAACTAAAAATTAAAGGATTTAGTACTTGAAAGTTTAACTGAATTTGATAAAAGTCTGATATTTCTAAAAATATTTACTGCCATTCTATTGCACAAGAAAAATATTCTCGATATTAATCCAAGTGATGTTAACTAGATAAAATAAATCTGTAACGATTACTTCAAAGAGGTAATAGTCTACTTAACAAGATGCTATCGTTCACAATAATTAAAATAATGTAAATATAGCAAGTTTGATAATTTTAACATTTTTATGTAAAATTTAAACATCATATGATTAAATGTGGTACAGTTGACACAGGTATTGCTAATTTTAATATTGCTCAAACGGTCATTGTAGACATAACGTCACTTCTTACTTTCTTAAAGCTATTTATTTATTTTTATTACTTCTAAGCGGTTTATTAGTCATAACAACTAGTTAAGTGAAGTCTTGTAATCGGGTGAAATTTTCGATGTTTAGTTTTAACTAAACCTTAGAAGTTAAGAGTTCATAAGACACATCGATCTATCTATGGCACGATTGTCTCCCGAAGAATTAGACCGAATTATTTGCTTTATTTATTTATTTTATTTTATTTTTTTTTGCATAGTTTCAGCCTCCGAAACCTATTTATGAAATCATCCAGTATGCAATAACTAAAAGACATGTTAACACTGTTCCACCAAAATCTAATGATCTTAATGATACCGGACGAATGTTTTCTCCATAAAGCTCTTTTAACTTTTTACACACATATTCCTAATTTGTGAATGAAACTGGATCCTCCCACTGTGGTTAAAATAGATTTGCTTGTACCACTTGAAGCCCCCCGTAAGCCAAAAATGGTAGGTTAGGGTAATCTAATAATAAAAAAATGTTGTGAAGGGGCATTAAAATTCCTGAAGTATGAATGTGAAGTTGCGTTTAGACATTTCACAAACTATGGGAAACACAATTATCTAATTTAACTAATAGCGACATTATTGCTAAACCAAACTATTTATTTTATTTTTCTTGATACTGACAGCAGATGGAAAACATAAAAAATAAGAAACAAAAATACTAGCAAAGTAAAATAACCGTTTATATATTTGTTTGTCAGATGATTAGTGAAATGTCTAAACACACCTTGAGAGTTCCCTCTTAAAAGATGGGATATGAAAAGAATAACGCGGATCAAATCGTTAATTTGGCTTGGAATGCGTTTAGTATTTTATCTCTCTACGATTAACAAAGAAAAGATAAATGGTAACAAAAATATAATAATAATAAATGCTTGTCTAGCTCTTACATATGGGAATCGTCAGCATAAATATTGTATAGGGAGCACTAGCGGATCCAGGATTTAATTTTGGGGAGGGGAGGCTTCAGCCGGAAAGATTTTTTTTTCATAAACGATAATTACTTTGGAAAAAAAGAAAGAAACTAACTACATATATGAAATGGTCTTGAAGTGATTCCTAAAATTCTTTTAAATGTAATCACACGAACAATAATACTTTAAGAGATATTTTGTTAATATTTTATTCCGTAAAACATGGTTATATTTTACCATTTTGGAAGGGTGCTTCAGCCCCAAAGCTCCCCCGTAGATCCGCCCGTGATAGGGAGTGATGGATCTATTAGACAAAGATACATCCAGAACTAATGACGCTTCACCAAGTTCTAGTCATGTAGACTCAAGAAGACAGATTATTCTAAGTTTCAGTAACATATTTTTTTTTTTTTATACCAAGATTCTATGGGTTTCTAATGAAAATAGGGGACGGCTGTATTTTAGCAGCTTTAAGGCGTAGATGGCACATATTGGATATTGATTTTACCTAGAAAGAGAAATCAAAAGTTACTCTAGCGTTTTAATAGTAGAATCAAAGTCTAAGGGATTACTATATAGGAAAAGGATTGGAAAGTGAGGAACTGTTCTAAGGAGGCGATTGGATGCTATTACAATTGCCTTCTCAGCATTCAACTGCAACTAGTTAGTTTCTGCCCAGTCAAAAGTTCTACTCAAATCTTCTTGAAGATTTTTGGTAATAGAAGAGAAGGGTAGAGGGATAGGTACTTTTGGAAATCACCAGTATGAATACTGTATTGAGAATGATGGATCAGGCAGAGAAGGTCATTAATATAAATATAAAACTGAGCACAGAGAGGGGGCCTCCGGGCTGAAGCTTTTTTTTAATTACTTTTTTTCCAAAGTAATTACCATCATATGTATGAAAAAAAAAATTTCGAGCTTGAGCCCCTCCCCAATATTAAATCCTGGATCCGATAGTGGAACTGAGTGACAGATTGAGAGGAACTCTAAGGGACAACACAAGAGCGGAAAAGTGTCTTGGGTCAAAGTTGATCTGGAACGACAGTATTTTGTAGACCTATTGGAGAAACAGCATTTGAACCAGCGCAGGGCTTTGTTGGATAAAGTAATATTTTGCAGTTTGGTAAGAAGAATCGTAACATTGGTCTACTCTGTCAAATACTTTGGCATTAATCCTCCACCCTCACCCTCTGGCCCGGGAAAACCCTTTATAACCTAAAAGGTGAGGAAGAGATGAAAAAAAGAAGTTTTACAAAGATCATGTCAGAACCATAATTACTGGTGCAAGATTCTAGGATAATGGCAAGTAGTTCATCGAAGAATACCTGGTAGAAAAATAAGTCTTCCAAATTGAAATAGTGATATTCATTATCGACAAAAATGTACTTAATATACTCAGCTGAGCTCGGAATTCGTGTGTTAATTTATTTCCCATCTTCAATCGATTGCTTGGCAACCGGCTTATGCACTATAATTAAGGTTTGCTCAAGAACTATGCACCTATACATAGCACAAATTTGGACGGGGAAATAATAGTTTTTTGAGAAGTTTCAAAGAAATTATTAAGACTCCGTCCACATGTAAGTTTTCTTCGTCGAAACAAATATCTAGCGACAAATATATGGTTGAAGCTAGAAAGAAATCTGGATGGATGACCATAAATCTCACTATTCATTTCTCATAATCAGTTACTTCACCAAACTCCGTCTCTATTGCGCCCATATAAGTGTATGCCACTTTAAATAGTGCGTCAGTGACGACATGAAACGATAAACCAAAGTGATCATAGGAAAAGGAAAGAAAGTAAGACAAGCTCTGTAGAAATCGTACTTATGAAGGTTTTACGAGTATATAAAGAAAGTGATCACCAGTTATGTAAATGTTCTCTCGAGAACTCTCTTGGTAAGGGGACCCAGCTCAGACTCAAGCTGAGATCCCCTGACAGAGCCAGACCGGGCCTAATACTATTGACTATTATAAAGTGACTATGCGTTTTTTTCACTCCCAGTTTACTGTCATAGAAATTGATGCGTATTTATCCTTGACAAACTTATTGTTTCTAGTCCTAAAATATGCGTTTAAAATGAAAAACCGCTGATTGCTTCAATTATATTCATGCAATATAAATATTTTGGTTAGAAACATTAAGTTTGTCACTTATAAATACGGATCAACTTCTATGACAGAGATCTGGAAGAAAAATACAATTTTATAACCATCTTACACGAACAATGTTTAAAAAATCATTATTGTTATTTTTTTAATGAATAAACGGTGTATTTAGGCAATTATTTTCGTTAAAATACATCCCAGATCATGATAAAACAAGAAATACAATCTTTGCAACAGTTTATTGAAGTCATTTTTGATGAAAACACAGGTAATTTTAGCCTAAAAGTTTTAGGTTACTGAATAGAAAACCGCATAATTTCTTTACACAACTTGTGACGAATCTCACATTTTTGCCCAATAAAACTCAGTTTTATTGGACTTTAAGCTTATTAAACGAGGAAGTTTTGCTAAAAGTGGGGTATCTTTACCATAGTCAGATAATGATGAAAACAATCACGAATAATTCATGATTTTTTAAAAACAGAACTTAGCTTAGTTTAGGTGATCCTACATGGCCTATCTCCAAAACTGGAAAGCAGAATCTAATGGTCTTTGAGAGGAAGATTCTGCGTAAAATGTTTGGAGCTTTGAAAATTGACCCGTTATGGAGACGTCGGACAGACCAGGAGCTCAAAGATATGTTTAAGGTACCAGACGTGGTTTATTTCAAGAAGCTCGATAGTTTGAGATGGGCTGGGCACGTCGCTCGAATGACTCAGAATGATATTCCGAAGAAAATTATTACAGAAGTAATACATGGAACAAGACCTTGAGGAAAGTTAAAGCAATTCACAGCTTCGGTGGAGTGATGGTATGGTGATGCAGGTCCAAGTTGGGAGTGAGGAGCTGGATGACAGCTGCACATGATAGGAACAATTGGTGGATTTGTTTGTATAGATTTGTTTTTTTAGGTTACTTTAAACATAAAAAATTGAGGAAAAAGTTTTCTCCATTCGTGAATATAATCAATCGTACATAAAAGAACATTATATTCATGATACAAGTTACTTGTTCTATCTCGTTATCTCCCTCCTCCCCCCCCTCCCAAGCCAAAATCTTCATTGTAAATGTTTTCACTCATTTAATATATGCTATCATAATTAAATACATATGTTCTTTTTCATACAGTATTTACTACTTTATAAATTTTAATCAATTCAATGTTCTTACAGAACTAAAAGATCTAAAAAATGGTTCTGTAAAGATTAATGCTGGGCCCACACTACAGGCAAACTCGGTTTGGCAAAATTTCTGGCAAACTTGCGGCAAAATAAGGAACTAATCGAAGCTCGTTAACCATGGAAAATGTGCTCAGTAGGACGGAGTCAGTCCAAGCAAACAACATGGACCTTCTAGAATTGCCGTGGGGTTGATTGTTACTTTTGGTTATGTCTTCTATAAAAAAAAAGCAAGTAGAAGAAAATAAGTGGAGAAAACAAAGAAGATGACAGATGTCGAAAATTCATGAGAATCATACAAGGTAAGCATAAAATTGATCTTAGTTTTCCTTATTAATATGAATTGTTTATTTCTTTGCTATGACATTTCTCTATAAATACATTTTACCTTGTTTTTCAAAATATATTTCTGTAAAGCTAATTAACGCGATTTTATGTAATTTTTCACACACAATTGCTAGGATTGTTAATTTCCTTCCGTTAAACATAGTCAATTATTAATTCTCTAACCAGTGAAAATTCTTGATATATCCTCCGTTTACTGCATTCAATTCATGCACTATGTGCATATTTGATATAGGTTAACTTTCAAGATTTTTTTTTTTTTTAATTTTGACTTTATTTACCTATACAAAAACACTGTATGGGCATGGAAATGAAACAAGCCCTTTTATACATCAATTATACTTACAAGAAGCACACAATTTTCTGATTTTATAAAGAAAAAGATATTCAAAGTTCTTGATTACTTAAGAAATAATGAATTTTCACTTAATTACTTTGCAATGAGCTGCCATTTGTTTTATCAATTGTTTGATTCAAGGAATGCATTTAAAAATTTTTTTCTCCATTTATTTATGAGGTTCTTTGATTTACTGTATAGACATTTTTTACAATTTAGTGAATGGTTAATTCCTCTTTTACTAAATTTGCAAGTGTTACTTTATTATTTTTCAATTCAAACAATCAATTAAGTCTGTAGTAAGTTAATTTAGTTCTATTTTCTTTTCTAACGTCCAACTTAAGTACATCATCGCAAAGGAAACAATGGACAAGGGGTGTTAATTATTTAGCATTTAACTGGTTATTTATATTTAGTTAATTGGAAGTTCATTGTTAGTTTTCGATATCCCTCCTAGTCTATGATTAAGTTATTTTTTTTATACTTTTTCATATAGCAAAACAATGTACATAGGGTAATGACTATAAAGAGAAAATGCCCTATGATGCCTTAGCCATTCTGTCTTGTTTCCTTAACCCTCCACATTATCTGTTTACCCGTAACAAATTATTTATTTTCTTCTGTTATGAATTTGATTCCATTGTTTCCTATTTCAATTAAGGATTAGTTTTGTTTTTTCCTCGACTTTCATTATTAATGTAAATGTTACATAGCTTTTATTTGTTCTCTGTAAAATTGAGTCTTAAAGTGTGCCAGACATAGACCCTCCTCTAAAAATGAAAATCTCAACTAAATGTGTTATAAGCATCGCAAAAAATAGAAGGGAAAAAATTATAACGAAATTAAAAAATCTGATTTTTTAGTTGGATGATACCAGGCCTAAGATTGGTAATTTTTTTTTTTTTTTCCAGCGTTCCCCTACTGTTGAGTGTGAACATGAAGGACAGGCTGAAGTACTCGATGATTCATCTTTATTGAACAACGGTATGTATTGCAGCCTAAGACAAAAAAAAAAAATCAAACAAAGGCGAAGAGGAAATTATGGCCCCGTTCAATAAACTCGTCCAAATAATAGAAAAACAGTGCGGAAATACAAATAAACCCAAAACAATTGCACAGAATTATGGGTCCATGTTAGGAGAAGGGTTGGACCAATTACCTCAACCAGAACAAAGTTTGTGCATATGTGAAATGGAACGAGGCTTGGGGAAGATGTGTGCGGACTTTGTGGAATAAAAATATTTGTAATATTGAAACCAGCACTAGTTTAAACAAGATGGCAGCCTGTGCCCGTGGTATTTTTAATGCACCATAAAGAGTGATTTTCCAGCAACATGCTGGGCCATTTAAAAAATATAAAACAGACACTTTTTCTGTAAATACTAGTAAGGTTGTACCTCCAAAAAGACATATTATTAATAAAGCCTTTTTAAAGGTGTTTGAAGAAGATGGAGAATAATCCAGTAAATTATTAGAATACTCATTAGTTATTATTCAGCTTTTTCTGATGCATTTAAAAATGCTTTATTTGTAATGTTAAATTCCTTTATTCATGATGTTGTATAAACAAAAACATATCTTGTATTCATTAATTTGTATGTTGTATTAATTCATTTATATTTTGTATTGTATATTTGAACCTAAAAATATTTATTTGTTCATTAATAGAATTTCTATTTTGTATAATAATAACAAAGTTAGGATATAAAGATTAATTTTCTAGCAACATTATAATTATTAAATTTAGTTTATGTATATGATTTATTATATTTTGCAAATATATGGGTTGTATGTATTATAAATAACATCTTCCATCATTTCCCTTCAAACATATATATTACAACTTGTGTATAAATAACCAATAAATGATAGGTATATGTCAAATTTCTAAAATTAAAAATGCGAATAACAAAACAAAGGCAGTCTCACTATGTGGTTAAAATTTCCACACTTAGACTTAATTGTTATTTTAATCAGACAATGTTTTATACAAATATAACTTTTTTAGGCTTAGGATGGTTGATTATTTATTGAAGTAGGCATCAAAATTGGCACTGTATGATGTTAGTCTCTAACCATGATACAGTCATTTAATTACAAATATAGTATTGTATTATGGTGTTTCAATATGTGCTTAAAATGTTATTAATGCAGCTTTATTAGAGTCTAGGTTAGTAATTTTGTGAGTTGTTCGGTTTTATTTGAACTGAAGATATAGAAAGAAAAAAAAAAACAGATGTAGATTAACACTAATGTCTGTGAAATGTAAAATTAGTTGACAGACCGATACAAATATGGGCACTAAAAAAGAAACTGATAAACTGATCATTTTAAAAAAATAATGAATACTTGTTTTCAACTCTCTAAAGTAGAATAAGCATAGGTTAAAAAATAAATATATTTTGAACTTTTTTTTTATATTGACTAAATAATATGTGAAAATGGATATTATTTTATTTTAATGTAATGCGAAGTATTGGGATCATTAAAAATTTCAACTCCGAGTTTTCAAAAACATAAAAAAACTTTTTGCTTAATGGTTTTTTTGTGTAAATGCAGAATCTATCTAAAAAATGAAAAGTTCAGTGATTATACTTATTTATTAAGGTAGATAGGAGTATGGCAGCGATGTTAGGGCAAATTGTTGGCTGAAATAATATTACCAAAAGTGGAACTTGACATAATTGGTTTTATAAAGTATTTCAATTCAACTATAAAACGGAAATAAACAATGAAGAGTAGTATTAAATGAAGAAGAAACATAAAATGGAATAATTAGATATGAATAATAAAATGTAATTAGATGAATTAACAAAAACTTAGTTTATGATAATAAAAGGTAATGAATAAGTACGAAAGGTTATGATATATATACCTGACACTCAAAAAGATGATAAGTACAAATAGCAAATATATGGAAATATAATAAATCAAATAAATATATATAAGTAATGACAAATGGGAAAAACAAGTAATGGATTAAAAGTTTTGTTATTTAAAATATATTATGTAAAAATGTTCAAAAATATATGTTATATTTCATTATATCTTATTTAATTTTATTTATATGAACCCTTCCGCTAACAAACTTCCATAATTCATTTAATGGCAAATAATATCTTCATTTAATTTTTGTAGTTTATAATGATTTGTTTGTTATTACTGAAAGACAGAAAGCTGGTTGCACAGAAAATTTTGATTAAACTCGTGTATTATTGTATAATTAAGTGGTCTTTAATATCATTGAGGTCTTATCCCCATTAATGTCACTTTACATAGCTTAAATGCCTAAATGTTCAACATTTCATCCTCTAAAGTACCTTTAATTTGATTAATTTTTAATAATTAACCATCTCTCATTATTAAGAATTACGAAAAAATGCTAAATATAACTTTTGAAAGAATTTGATAATTGAAAAATGGAGAAAAAAGGGAAAATGTGTATTGAGGATGAAAATGAATTACCGGCAATACTTGTCAGAAGTTATATCATTGGAAAACGGATAATTTTAGAAAAAAACAATATGAAATATAGAATGTAATGGAGAGAGATTATTATAAATAATAATTTGTGTAAACTAATATTATTTAACGGAAATCACATTTTTTCAAGGAAATTAAATAAATGAAATTTACTAACTAAATTTAAATTGTTTTTAAGTTTGAAAAAGTATTTAAAATTCACCTAATCAACGCAATGTTATTGTTAAAAAACTATTTCATAGTACTAATGTGAAAGAAGTGAAATATAAAAATATTAAATGGATGTATAAAGCCTATGTTTATAACCTTAAATACATTTACTGTAGTTTAATAATTCTAAATCTGATATTAAATTTAAATAATTAGGTATCAACGTCCGTTGATCGTCGTATAACATTTAAAAAAATTAAATTAGTGAGTAATTTGATGAATTTTCCCTTTGTTAAATTAGTGTAACAACTTTTGAGCTATCTATGACAGGCTATGAAAATCTCGTAATTTCTTTGTAGTAAACTTTACAATGGAAAGTAACAGTTTAATAACTAATAGGCGTAGAATCCATAATAATTTATAGGTTGAATATAGAGATATACTTGAAAATCTCTCTAGACATATGTATATTGCTCAGAGACCGGAGTTATATGGTTTACGAAAAAAGATGGGGTAGGGAGGTTTTTATTATCTACCGTTGATATAATTAATAGGGTTTCTGTTATTTTAGGGATGATAATGATTAGTTAGCTGTAGACCTTTAAGCTATAGATCCGTTAAAAGTGCACTTAAAAATTTTTATAATTGCTCAACATTTCCAGAAAATAATTTCTATTCAAAGTAGAAAGGTAAGTGAAAGTTGTATGTTGTGCGCACTAATTTTGTTTTATTCCGGATATTGCAAAAAAAAGCGGAAAATGGAAGTTTCTGTGTCAGCCAATCACAGTGGCTATTCAATGCATCACTAGCGTAGCGTAACGGCCATAATGCAAAACTTGCTTGAATTTTGCCTAAGTTTTCCATTTCGGATGGATATGCAACAAACCGGGGTAAACAGCCCATTACCTTCCACCAGCTGGTCAAAATATCCCCACCACCTTCTCCCACTCTCGCCCTTTCCTTTGTTCTCTACGACAGTGGCGCTAGCAAACTCGGGCAAATTCCCATAAAACTGAGGCAAAATGCGGGAATTTGCCTCGATTTGCCTGTAGTGTGGGCCCAGGGTTATAATTTTAGTGAGCTCACAGTACCTAAGCAGCTCACATTGTTGTTACAGAGCACTAAATGAATTTAGACAAACGATTGCTTATTTTTTAAATGTGGCTTGAATTGATTGATTAAAGCTAAGGAAATGTTGTTGTAATTAGATTATTTTTTAAGAAACAATTTACTAATACATTTGTAATATATTGTAAGGATATCTTAATTTTCAGTCAAAGACCTAAGTGACGGTAAAGAATTTCATTAAAATTTAAACAGTATACATAAATTCATTGCTGATAGATTTAAAGTTTTTTTTTTAATATTCAAATTATTATTATACAAAGAGAAATAAGTTTTTAAGTTCATATGTTGGCATTATTGGTTTTGTGTGGCTTGCTAGCTGTATATGCTTGTTTGGGAAGCTCACAAGACTTGATTTGGCTAGGATATCGGTTGTTTGATAAAATTGTGTAATCTCTTTTATTTTGAGTGCCGATTATAATACAATGTCGTCAACTACAATGAAAACTATCACTACGCCGCCCGGTGGTCACGGATGGCCCAGAAGAGGCACAGGAACATCTAATTCTAATGAACAGAACAATGCAAATCAAATCGCCAAACTTTCTCCCAGTACCTCTCTTACAATAAATCGTTGTATAAAACTGTAAGTAGTGATCAAGTTATGGAATTTTACTATAAACTAAGATAAAATATTCTTTAGATAATACTTTTATGCATTACCTCCTCAAATAATTGTTAACTTCATATTTCAGTTATCCCTTAACAAACTATTCTTTTCTTACGAAAGATGCTTTATTTGAAAAAGATCCTTCAGTACCAGCTAGATTTCAGAGAATGAGAGAAGAATTTGAAAAAATTGGTATGAGAAGGAGTGTCGATGGTGTACTTTTAGTTCACAAGCATGGAATTCCTCACATTTTATTACTACAACTAGGTAATACTTTCTTTAAACTTCCTGGTGGTGAATTAAAGTCTGGTGAGGATGAAGTTGAAGGCCTCAAAAGACTCTTAACTGAGGTAATTCATTAATTTTTATGTTTAATATACCATTAATTTTGTAGTAAACTGATGAATTATTTTATGTGGTTCTTGTTGCCTATCACTGACAAATTCATTTTTTTGTTACTGGTGTTATTTCACAATTTTTTTAGTAAGGCGTGGGTCGTTGAATATGATTGTAGTAGACTCAATATCTAAGCCAATTTTTGAATTTCAGGATTGGAATTGGAAAATATTAATTTGTTAGTAAGAATTATACTATGATTCTTTCAATATTATATCTTAAGTACTGTTGTTATTGATTAGAGTAGGTAGTGTGTATAAGTTATACTGTTACTTATTAATACCAGAAATTTTCCAGCATATTGCTTGGTTAGCTTTAGATTTTTTAACACCCTTCATTTAGTATTAACTTTTTTATTTTTGACCGCTATTATAGAAACATAACATTCACATATTTTTGTAATCGTATATATATTTTGTAAATATTATTGGTTCTATTTATTACTTTACAGATATTGGGACGCGAGGATGGGGGCAAGCAGGAATGGATAATTGAAGACACAATTGGTAATTGGTGGAGGCCTAATTTTGAACCTCCTCAATATCCGTATATCCCTGCCCACATTACCAAGCCAAAAGAGCATAAAAAATTATTTCTCGTTCAAATGTCTGTTAAAGGTAAGTAAATTATATCTAATATATAGCTTCTTTTTTTTTTATTTACTTAGTGATTTCCCTTTTAAATATGCCTATTTTGTTAAAGACATTTATGTCTCTCATATTAATTATGTCAAATAATATTTGATAGTAAAATTTTTATAACAACGATTATATCCAAATATAGTTGGAAATATATTTATATATCTGTGTTTATTTCACAGTTATTGATTCGGCCTTCAGGATGCTCTGCCAGCCTGCTCAAAATATCACCACTCTCTTTGACTTGTTACTCTCTATATTGATAAAGCAGTTTGTTTGTATTGTAGATTGCGGTTGAAGTTGAATTGTCAGTAAAAATTAAAAGAACATACAAACTGCTTTGTCTTGTAGCATTTTCAAGATTGTATTCTTAAAAAGTGGATATTGAAGAATGTATCAAACATTTTTTAAAATAAGTACAGTCTGTAATAATTCCAGATCCTTTGAGCTTGATTAGGCTCATATTAACAGTTTTATTTCGAATCAAAGTTCTCATAGATTTGATTGCACACATGAATTTATTTTACTAATTGATTCAACTACCACTGTCCATTTCAGTAGCAATCATTAATTTCAGTATTCAATGTTATTTGTTTTTTGCTAAACTTTTTTACTTTTGATCTGTTCACCTTCTAAAATTATTGTGTCCCTAATTTAGTAATCAGTAATGTAAAACAGGAATGAACTTGTTTTTATTTTAAATTATTAGTGATGAACATTTATTGCTGTTTTTTGCTATATTGTCCTATTTATTTCATCTGTTGTTGAAATCTACATGAGTTAAGGAATTTTCTGCTGTATTTTTTGTAATAGTTAAAATTGCCATGTATCTTAAATTCTATATATATTCCATATCTAAAATGTTCTCAGCTTTTGATATTTATATTATGATAGCATAGTTATGCTATACTTATTTGCTTAATGTTTTATTAGGAGGTATTTTTTGGTTCATTCATTGTAAACATGAACAATAAAGAAAATAAGGATATTGTTGAAGACAAACCCCATTATAAAAATATTGACATTTTAATATCCTAAAATGGGTGGGCTATATCCAAAGGTCAGAACATGAAAATTTTGACCTCAAAGGTTAACATTTGTGTTCAGTTTATCAATTTTATAAAGAACTGAATACGGCATTGTACGCAGTGGAAATGGTCAGATTTCTCAGCTCTCTTCTTCCACCACTAGTAGGCAAAAAATCTGCTTATTATTTTGAGTCATCGTTTTTTTTGTATTTAATATTGTTGTAACTCTCTTTAAAAACTCTTAAAACTCCTAAAAATTGAGGAATCTTATATTTAAATATTTTGCTGGACCTCGTGGTTTTAAGGAATTATAAATTATTATTTCATTTATTCAATCATTTAAGGATAAGTATGAAAAATATGTAGTTATGTTTCAAAAATAGGAATTATTTCAATGAGAACTCGAGTTATTACCTTATTTTTAATGATTATTAACAATACACATTAATATAACTATAAACCTAATGCATAAATATGTTCATACATATGAACTCCCCAATGTAACTTACTATATATTAAAATAATTTTGCTGAAACATTTCTAAATCAAATCAATTATTCAGTTTCTACCGGACCCTTGCTGCCAATGCTTATTTGTTATTTTAATCTCAACGTTTTTTCGTTCAGCTAAATTTAAACTCAATTCAATAAAAGTCAATTCATAGCTATCCTCATTATAATAATTACATCTTTAATTTTTTTACTTTCACTTACGTATATATGTAATATATAGTAAGGGTAAGTATTGCGATCGAGAAAATTTTTGAATCTGAGTTTTCAACGGAAATAGACGTTTTGAGGTACCCTGAGTCGAAATGACCAAGTCCCGAAAAATGGTCTGTGTGTTTGCATGTTAGCAGTCTAGCTCAATAACGAAAAGTCCTACGAAACTGATATTACTTATTTAAGATAGGTATATGCCTTAGATGTGATGGCAACTTTTTCCTTAAAATCGGCTAACCAGAAGTGCCACTTTTTAAAAATACATTTCCAACTATTATTCTATTATAACACATGTTCCAGCGTTTTGTATACACATTTAAAAATTTTCACAAAATGAGAAGAAAATATTTAACTACTCTTGAGAAACACTACCAGTTAAATGAATATATGGGCTTAGAATAAGCATTGTTCACACTTTAATGTAGAATATCTAATTTTCAATATGAAACTTCATATATAATACTATATTTTCTCCCTATTAGACAAGGGATCACTATCCATTATGATTCTCAATGATTCCTGTCTGTGACAATAACTTGCTTTTAATTTCATAATAGCCCTTATATCTTATCAAATAGGAGACATTTAAATACGAATTAGGGGAAGAATTATTGAAAGTGCCAGTAGATCTCTATTCCTATAGCAAATAATTAACGTGTCAATTTTTTTTAGTTTCGCTTACTTTAAACTATTAAAATGATATTTCACAAATCCATTCCTTATGGTGTAATTGTATGCAGAGCAACTCTTAATCATTTCTAAAATATCTAAAAGAATTTATATATAGGAAACTGAAAAAGTCAACTGAAAACAAATACACAGACTAATATATGTAAGCGAAATAAATAATGACAGGAAGTATTGCTTACTGGTGGTGGGAAAGCTGAGTTTTTTTACATTACATTTTTTACATTACCTGAGAGGTTTTTTACATCTTCTAGTGCCTTCAGTGAGTTATCCAATTTTTGTTTTAAATTCATGGTCAAGTTTTCAAGATTAAATAAAGATCAGTTTTTAAAGTGAGTGAGCAGGCATCGTGATTTTAAAAACTGATAAGGTACAGCTTTAGGCAAAATTTCAAATGCTTAAGCAGGCTGTTTTAGCATTAGGAGATGCACCAATAGAGATCAATAAGTATCATCTATTTAACTCATTGTTATATTATATTCAATGTTGGTTCCATTTTTTACTATCTTCATTTTAACTCTAAATATAAAGGTACCTGATAACAAATTATATTTTACTTTAGAAACTCAATTCTCGCAGGAATTTGGATTGTTAAGGAATGAATTGAATTTGTTTTGTTAATGAGTTGTCTGGTTTTAGTGATTTTTACAATGATCAATGAAAGGAGTTGGGTATACATAACATATTTCTAGCATATGCTCGACAGGCTTTTCTTTGTATCTTTTTGTTAACAGTTCTATCCGTACTCTTCACATTATGTTCTGTTAACGGTGGATAACTTCTTATTATGGCCTCACATGTTTCTCAATGCCTTTATAGTGTTGTATATTATTTGTTTTTTGTATGATTAACTTAGCAGATTTTGTTTTGCTCTCTAGACTTACACTGTTTTTATTTTTATTCAAATATATGAATATTAATAATTCGCTATGCTGTGATGCATGCACTTTTTTTCTTGTATATGTTTAAAGCTTACTTCTGAAATGGGTTTCTATATTTTTATTTGAGAATGATAATATTTTATAGTATGTATTTTAATGTAAATGATTATTAATGTAGACTTAAGTTTTAGTGCCCCTTATTTTCCAATACTTGTACATTTTGATCTAATTTTTAATGGACAGTGGGGGTGTTGTTTTTTCTTTCTACTTTAATCTATTTTTCCCAATCAGTTCAATGAATACCAATTTCAAGATAAGCATTAATTTAATAATTCTATCTATGTATAGGAGCTTGTCTATTATGAATTATATTTTCTCTAAACTTTTAGTTTATTTATTTAATTTAAAAAAAACTTCCTATCTCAACTATGTTTCATTAATTTAAATGTATTTTAAAAAATCATGAAACTCGGAATATATTTGTTATGTTGTTTGTGTTAGGTTTTTTTACTTTAAATATTAATTTTCTTATTTTGTTTGTGAATTAATTAAATTGTTACACTTTCTAAAATTTAATTAAAAATATTAAAAGTATATTACTGCTCATTAATGCAGGAGATTAAATGATTATTGACCTTAAATTTTAACATTTAAAAAATAAAATTAGCTTTTCTTGATTTCTAGAAGACCCTCCCTATGCTTAGGTCTGAAACTAATTGTTGAAGACTTGGAATATTCCTTTTGCCTATTACTACTATGTTAATTTTTTTTTTTTAAGTCCTAATAAATAAATAATATGCACTCTGTGAAAAAAAATTATGACAAATTCAATAATTAAAATATTGTGAAAATATAATGTATGGTTTTTAAAGAGATACGGTTTATACTATCATGAATCAGCTATTTCTTTAAGCATTAATACTAATCTGACCAGATTTAAGGGTTACATTTAATAAGTATAAAACATTTGTTATAAACTTTGTTTTCGTATTGAGTAGACTGTTTAGGTTCCCTTGTAAAGATAAAATAGTTATTTGTGCAGTTATTTTAGTTAACGCATTTATTTTAAATTATGAGAGGTTTTAATAAGTACCCTCAAATAACTTAGAGTACGAAATTAATTGATTAGAAATAGGTTATGATTGTTAAATAATATTAATGAAAATTGTCCGATATATTTATTTTAAGTTTCTTTTTATTTATAATTCTCCAATCTTTTATTTATTAATTATTCTAATCAAATACTTAAAATTGAAGCAATATTATGTTACCTTTTGAGAAGAATGATAATTATTTATGCAATAAATGTTTTTATTTTCTTTATTAATTAATAATTTAATCCAGATATTCTGTCGTATATTAGCTTCTTAAAATTTATATATAATATTACTGTCCGATTTTTGCATACTTTTATTTTTATAAGTACTTTATATTAACATAATCATAATTTGCTTGAAAAATTCTATGTTTATTTTCATTACAATGTCAAGTAGAAACTTGTAGTATCGGAATTAGTAATAATGGCAATTTACTTCAATATTGCATTAGTAGCATCAGATATAGTTTTATTATTTCCATTGGCAATTATGATGTTCAGCTATATAAATCTGTTTAATAATTTTTTTTTTCATTCCAACATTTGTGCATACAACTGAGTATTAATCAGTTTTATTTTTTCAGAACATTTAATTCTATTCATCAACACATCTCTTGAACATGTACTATTTTATGTATCTATATTTTTGGTATCATGTATTAATTCTGAAATTGTTATGGTTTGAATGAGTACATTTTTTAGACTTAAACAATTTTTGACATTATTTTTTTTTATATTGGGAATAGGCGTTATGTTTATCTAATTTTTGTTACAAATTAAAAAGTTATGAGAATAGTAATCATTTTTAAAATCCATGTGATAGAAGTTTTTTTTTAATATCCTAATAATGCAGTGTAATAACTTCTATCTTCCCCATTTCTGAATTACATTTAAAATGTATTTTAACACTTTTCATTTTAAATTGAAGAAAATAATAAGTGACAAGTTTAACATGGCAAGCAAAGTGTTAAATAATATATGCTTCTCCTATTTCATTATGATTTTGGTAAAATTAAGAAGAAAAAAAAAATTTTTTCAATGGAAACTTTTGCATAGTTTCTATTACTTTGTTTAAAATACAGTTTTCTTTTATATTCTGCAGGTTATTTATGTTGAAGTCATGTTGTTTCATGAAGTTTTTAATCCTTATAAACTTTAGTGTCTTGTAATATCTTTACTAAAGTTAATGAGATGTTTATTACACTCGGTTCCTAGTAAGAATAATTAAATTATTTAATGGAATTGGTGAAGAATAATTTGAAAGTTAAAAGTATTAATTACAGTTTTTGTGACATCAATTTGTAAAAAAAAAAAAAATTACATGACTCTTAGCTTTGTTTAAAAGAAACTTGTCATTCCTCGTCACATGTTATACATTTTTCAATTATGCATGTGTAATGCACAGTGATAGATTCTATAAGATGTAGACAAAAAATAAATTGCTTTGCACTTCTTCAAATTGTTTTCAATCATGCTACTGCAGTGATACAATTAAGAAGTACTTTCCCTTCCTCTGTTACAAGTTATATATCAATAACTAATTATTTATCAAGTTGTCCCAATTTACAGAAGTGAAACGCCTTAACATAACTTTAATTAGAATACTCAACCAGTTTTAATGTTAGTTAATAGTTTTAATTTGGTAAGATTTTTTTTTCTTTTTAATTAATAATATAATTTGGACTAGTTGTTTTGTGTGTGTGTTTAGTTCAATATACCACGTACCTGTTGTGTTAATGATTAGTAATTTTAATTTAAAATATGTATTTCTTATGAAGTTCTAATAAAATTCTTATTATGCATTTTTAGATTACTAACTGACCTCATTATACTATTGACACTTTTCTTTAATGGCTTAGCTAAATATATTTCTTAATTTTGTTGAAATTTAGTTACTGAAACATAGTTATTGTTGTTTTTTTTTTTTTTTTGTTTTTTTTATTGCCACCTTATTTTCAATTGCTCGAATTATATTTATTGTATTAAATTGAATAAAAACTAAAGTATATAATTTTTATGGCTCCTTAATTAAATTAAATCCATTCTTAGGACATCTATCTATTTAAAGTGGATTGAATAAAAACATTTTTTTTCTTTTGTCAATTGTGAACAATAACCCAACAAAAATAAATAATGAATGTTAAGTAGTGTTAGGTATGATTTTTATTTTGTAATGTTAAAATGACTTTACTGTCTGTTTTTTAATTTTATTTGTGATTTAATAATTGTTTTCATATCTGTATATCAACATATACTAAGAACGGTTGCATCAGTTTATATTTAGTACCATGAGATATAAGGTGTATTAAATGTAAAGTTTGTCTTTTAAATATCTAATAAATTATAGTTAACTTAAGTTTTTTGTGTTAGTCCTGAGAGGTTTACTATTAGATTGATTATTTTTTTAGCGTTACTTGCTGTTCCTAAAAACTACAAGATAGTGGCAGCTCCCCTTTTTGAACTTTATGACAGTACACAGAGTTATGGTGCTATCATCTCTTCACTTCCCCAAGCTCTTTGTAGGTAAGTGTCTAAGGAGTTGTTCAAAAGTATTAAAACAAAGAATAATTGTATTAATTACAGTAGATTTTATATTATATAATAACTGTAAAACGTATTGTAATTTACATTTTTGTTTTATCTACATTCAATTCAAGCTATAAATTCTTAAAAATAATTCTAAAATCAAGTGATTTCTTTGTAATTAAATATTCCTTTTTTGGTATTTGTGATTTAGCGGGTCACCGTGTAACCTCTTCTTATCATTTATCTGTTTAGTTATTTGTGCGTTATTCTATTGTTTTCAATTTCGTTTTTGTTCTTATAAATTTGAAGTTATGTTTTTGTTATTGTTTATTTAAAATGAATACAATAACGCTTTAGAAATTGCTGTCTTTAGAAGATGATGTGATATACTTCCAAAAGTTCGGAATAATTCAAAAGATGAAATTATGTGTAAAAGGTCATCAAATGAAGTTTGACGATAAGAATAAATGGAGATGTTTTCTTTGAAGTTGTTCGAAAAACATTTATTTAAGAAAAGGAATATGGCTAGATGAGTCTAGAATTAGCATTTTAAAGGCTTTAAAGTTTATTTATGGCTGGTCTCATAACTTAATATCAATTGAATGGGGCAAAGAACAGCTGAAATTATCGATCAGAAGTGCGGTCGAGTGGAATAGATTTTTGAGAGGTTTGTACCCAAAACAATTAAAAATTAAAAAATAGGAGGGCCTGGAAAAGTCGTTGAAATCGACAAAAGTCTTTTTTCCAAAAGAGAAAATCATCTAAGGAGAGTGCTCCCTGATCAGTGGATGTTTAGCAGTTTGTCGAAAAACTGACGAGTGTTTCATTGTAAAAATTAAAGACAGGAAAGCGACAACTCTATTTGAGTGTATTAAAATTAATAAAGAAGATGGAATCATGATATATTCTGACTGCTCGAAAGGATATGCCACCCAACAACTAAATGAAGCGAACTACAATCATTTCCAGGTGTATCACCGATACAAATTAGCTACAATAGCTAAATGCTATTTAAAATAGTGAGGAAGTTGAGCCGCTGCCACAAAGATTCACATAAATATGAATCGAAGTGTTGTCTCGCAGTTCCGCAGTGTTTTTATTCCTCCACTTAGCTGAGTCCCATAATCATTCTATATGATGAGAATGGGTCCCACTTGAAGGATCAACAAAGTTGTGATACACCTGGAAATGACTGTAGTTCGCTTCATTTAGTTGTTGGGTGGCATATCCTTTCGAGCAGTCAGAATATATCATGATTCCATCTTCTTTATTATTTTTAATATACTCAAATAGAGTTGTCGCTTTCCTGTCTTTAATTTTTACAATGAAACACTCGTCAGTTTTTCGTCAAACTGCTAAACATCCACTGATCAGGGAGCACTCTCCTTAGATGATTTTCTCTTTTGGAAAAAAGACTTTTGTCGATTTCAACGACTTTTCCAGGCCCTCCTATTTTTTAATTTTTAATTGTTTTGGATACAAATAAATATTTAAGTGTTTTGTTATTATTACATTTCTTTTTGTCGATTTCAATTGCCATAAATATGAATAAGAATGTAGGTATTATCAGTATTCAGGTTATAAACAAAGGCAGATAGCAGTCCATGGCGATCAGCTGAATCACAAGCACCCTTTTTTTTTCTTTCTTTATATGAGCCAGCAGGTCTTCTATTCTCTTTTTTTCTTCCTTTCAAGTTCCCTTAAGAGAATTTTTTATTTGTATGTTAGATTCTTTCAGCTGAAATTTCAATCTTAACAAAAAATACCCGTCCTCTACAGTACTCTGCTTAAAGTCTTTTTATTTTTTCTATTTTATATGTAGATAATTCAAAATAATGACTGATTACTTTACATAAACAACATTATTTTAGTATGCTTAAAATCATCTTAATTTTCCTTCTGTATCTACCTTATAATAATATAGATATTTTTATAAATGGTAATTGTAAAAGTCATTTAATTAACTTCTTATGCAGGAGGTAAATCTTGGTAGTTTCGCCTGCCTATTTTCATATAAAGGATAATATTGTAATTCCAAAAAACTTCAAATCTAAGTTTGGATTGAAATAAACGTTTTGAGGTCCTCTTAATGTTAATAACCAAATTTTAGGAAATGGTCTGTATGTGAAGCACATAGCTCTTAAACTGAGTCTTACTAGACTGAAATTTAAAAGTAGTTGTATTCCTGGGATGTTACGCCAATTTTTTTTACTAAAACAGACAAACTGGAAGTGGCACTTTATATCATTAAATTTACAACTTTTTTCAATTTTTTTTTTTTTTTTAAGCGCATCTAACGGTTATGATTAATCTTGTTTTATCCATGTAGAATCAGTTATTTAATATTATGCTGGCGTCATCCTCATTGAAATAGTCTGACACAGTTTAAATGCTAAATTTTCAAAATTGGTTTCTTTGTTGTATCTCTAATGTTATCTTAAAAAAAAAAATTAACCATTTCATGTTGTAAGTAGAAATGTAAAATGACCTAGTATAAACTATGAAAAAAATTATTAATTAACTAAAGGAGAATTAAGAATTAGTCAGGTAGAATTAAGAACTTTCCGATTAGTCTACAGAAAGAAACTGGTTGATCAGAAACAGTCAATAATGCTGAACTTTTCTGATCCCCACAGTTCTATATTACAACACGACAATTACCTACTCTTGAATCAACTTACTCACTGTTTGTACAAATATTATATATTATCCAATTAGAAGTATCACTAAGATGACCTTACTCAAAAATGTTTAAATTGGAGTTAGTACGCCTGTCAACTGAAAGATCTTTTTCTACTCAAAGTAGGGTAAAAAGTGAAAGTTGTGTGATGAGTAAATTGCACCAGATTTTCAACTTATAAAAAAATACTAGCACTTGTGTAAATGTGTGATGTACCCCTTTGTGTCGATATCAGTTGGTTCAGAATTTGTTCCACAACTCAGATAGAACTCTCCCTACATGATTTTTTCTTTAAAAAAAAAAAAGACTCGTCTACTTTGCCAGCCCCTCCAATTTTTTCACTTGACCTGTATAACATGTTATGGGCACAAACCTCTCTTAACAATTTATTCCACGCACCATAGTCGGCTGGTATAGTTTCAGCTGCTTTTTGCCCCACTATATTGTTAAATTATGGGATCACCCATAAATGACTTTTAATGCTGTTGAAAAAGAAATCCTCAACCCCTCTAACCACGTTCCTCTCCTCATAGAAACGTTTTTGTTACAAATGGTACAAAACTATCTCCATTTCATCTTTCTGTCTAACTTCATTTGATAACCTTCTTCACAGAATTTCACGTTTCGAATTATCCTGGCGTTTTGAAAATATTCTATCCTATATTATAACCTCTTCTTCTGAAGATGGTAATTCCCAGAATGTAATTTCATCCATAATTTGATGAAAGTCGCACTAATGGAACAAAAATAAACTATGGAATGACTCACAGCTTACATGAGAAACAAAAATAAACAATGGAATAACTCACAGCTTACACGAGATAAAAAGGGAGGTTGTGTGATATAACATTAGATATCAAGGGAGGTTTCGTCCCGCTGGACTATTTAAGAAGAAGTACCAAATAGCATTCGTCAATCTTTATCTTGACCAAATTTCATCTTAGCAGAAGCTATAATTTTTTAAACTAAATTTAAGTAGTATGAGGGTGTAAGTTGTATTTTCAAGTTCTGATTTTAATGTTTTTTTTTGGAATTACTCTTTCTGTGTAAATATTCATTAACAGTAGTTATATTTTTTTATTGCTTGTTATTATTTTTATTATCTAAGTATAGGAAAAAGAAAGTTTGATGTAAATTGAATCTAAGGTATAATAGTTAAAATAAAATGTATGTTTTGTTTAAATTTTATACATGTTTATTTCAAGTTCATGTCTAATTGTTCACTATTTTGTTTTCATAATTTTTTTAATGTTTGTTTCAGGTTTAATTTTATTTTTGTCAATGAAGAATAAAATAACTGTGATTTTGCACAGGACAGGGGAAGATAATTTTAATGATATTATCATTTTGTCTTATATATAATTATCTATATATATTTTTTTCTTTTTTTTACTTTAGTGTGTGTAATTAAGGTTTTTTCAGTGATTCTATTTTTATGAAGTAAATTCTGATAAATAACATACTTTTATTGATAATTGTAATAATGGTTTATTGTTAAACTGTTAGTGCCCTTTTCAGAAATATTTTATAACTAGGAAGAATTTTAACATGACTGTTCTTCATTTTCCTTTCTTATTTTATGTATTGTGATTTTTTTTTATTAATATTTTTTAAATATTTTAATGCAACCATGCTTTTAAATAAATAGTGTGTATTATCCAATCCTTTCATAGAAAAAACAAATTGGCACAATGGTTTATTAAGTAGTGATTTTGTTTATTCTTGTGGTTGTATTAACTTTTATTTGTATATAGTGAAACATTATACTGAGTTTACTGTGAGCATCTGAAGTTTATTAATTTCTGTATTAGTTTTGAAATATGGAATAGCTGATTTTAAATATTAATGTAAATAAATGTTTTCAAGACAATTTTATAATTCAAAATATTTTAAGTGCAATTGTAAATAAATATCCTGTATGTATTGTATATATTTTCGTAATACTTTTTAAAAAATAAGTTTTTTTAATACCTTTTACTGTGAATCATCGTTTGATTCAAATTTAGTATCATTTTTTATTAGAAAGAAAATAAGATTGTTATTACGATATGGCTGGTAGTTGTCTATTTTTTCTAAGTAAATTCAGTTGTTTGAATTTACTTCAGAAAATTAATTTGTACAATTAGTTGTGTTTGTTTCATGAGATTTAAAACTTGATTGACAATAATGTATAACAACATATTTTAAATCATTAATAGGTAATTAAATTTCTTCATTAATTGATTAGAATTAATCTTTTAAATTATGTAAACTTTATTTGTAATAACACTTTCTAATTCTTAAGATGTACATACATATATTTGAAACTGCTCAGTCC